ATTTCAAAGAATGTCCATATTGTTATGCAACAGTTACCTGCTTCACAGCAAACTTTTTGCCAGGGTTTTTTGGGTTGTTTTTGGGGTTTTTTCTTTTTTTTCAAATGTATTGGAAATAAAAAAAAAATCTCCATCTTTCAAATAAAACACTTGTAGGCACTTTTAAGCTTCTGAAACACAAAAAGTAGCTACATAAGTCTCCTTCCCATCACTGTTCTTGAGTAGCTATTGAAGTGACACATACCTCCTTGTCAAGGTGCTCTCAATGGTAAGCACATACTTGGTTTCAAGAATCCTCTTTTCCATGTCTTTGTTTGGTTTTTTTTCTTGTATCATTTTGCATACACAAAGCTAGTCCATGGGAAGAGTGTATGACAATCCTGCCCATGTTTGTATTTTGCAACAGGTTTAGACTGATACCTCTACCCACAGAGACCATAAACTCATCAGGGGGCTGTGTGGACATCAAAGGTGTCACATTACTTTGAGTGGCACTGAGCTGAGCTGGTAACAGCTAGGAGCGCAGAATCAAGGCATCTGTGTATACTGGTGTTTCCTCCTACAAATAATGCCCAAATGCATTAGCTACATTAAAATGTATGTAAAGGTATTACATACCTTTACTCAAATGTATGTAATACACAAATTCAGGATCCCATTTCAGATATCAGAAACTTCAGTGAGTTACATTCACTGCTGCAGGAAAAGCAAACCTTCTGTTTTTCTTTTCTGCAGACATCCTGAAACCAAGAATCAGGAACACCAGTTTACAAGTCTGTTGCTTGTAAAAATTCAGTTTGGGAAAGACATGAAGCACCTTGGCAGAACAGTCAAGTTCCATGCAAAAGGCCCTTTGCTCTGGACTTTCTTTAGTGCTAAGCATAAGAGAAAGAAATAAGAACAAGACTCAGAATTTCAGGTAAAAGCTAAAATATCCCTTTTGATTTTATTACTGTGGTGGGTAGGAGTCACGTTCCACTCCTGTTTTGAAAACAAGGGAAGAGTCATACAGTATTTCACCCAGATCAAGCTGTTACGTATTCGTTCTGCAGCCAACTCATTAGCAGTTTGAATAACAAAAAAAAAATCTGTAACTGCTATATTAGACTACTGTATGATGGTATTTGTATCTCTTGAAAGAGTACCTCAATTTGAATGAAAGGTGTAGAAGACTTTTTTTTTTTTCCTGTTGAAAAAGCTGAAAGAATAGCTGGCTTTTTAGTTGAGTCAGTTTCCAAGAATCAGGAAAAAAATAGGTATACCAGGGTTAACACATTTTGTGATTTTTAACTTGTCTTTAAAAACACCACTTGAAACATAAAGGCTGAAATAGTCTTCCAAATGAAACCTGACACAAATATGACATAAATACACACATAAATACATTTGGACATAAATACTATGAATATACTAAATATATATACTAAATATCTGGACATTTCTATATCTTATTAAGCTTTTGCAACTGAGAACATTAATCACTAACTTCTGTTTCTCTGCATTTATGGACAGTCTCTACATTCCATTTTCAATATTGCTCCTTTTCTGCCCTGAAATTATGCTCCAAATTTGCCAGGCAGTCTGTAGGGAGGCTGGAGAGCAGAAGCTAAAGAACAAATTATCTTTATTCTATCAAAAAAATCTGAAGATACAAGTTTTTCCAAGTCCTTAAATTCAGATTTGCTTTTGAAGAAGACATGCCAGCAGTTTTGATCAAATTAAGATATTCCCTTCTTCTGTCCTTGCTGGAGATATGTATTACATATTCTGAAGCAAAGTCAAACAGTTTATTCACATTTTCCTACCATCTCTTTTGCCATTCAAGTGAGGGAATGCTACCATTATATATTGCTCCCAAATCTCACAGCAACAACCATTTAGCCAAAAAATTTAGTGCGTGACCCCTTCTCCTTGGTTATCACTGAAGAGGTAAATAGTTTGACAGTGACCACTGCTAGCCCTGAATTATACCAACAAAAATCTTAGAGCTCAGCAATAAGTTGTGTATTAATGGAGGGACAGTCCTCATTTACATATTTACATTGATTAGGTTCTTCAGGTGGTTTTCAGTAACTCGCAAAATAAATTTCCCCACATTTTCGCTAGGTGCTGAAGGGAGGTTGACATGCCTGCAGTTTACTGGGTCATCCTTCTTGCCCTTCTTGAAAACTGGGACAATGTTCACCAGCTTCCAGTCAACTCAGACTTCTACAGATTCCCAGGAATGTTCAAAAATCATTGAGAGAGGTTCATGATGACATCAGAAGCTCTTTGAGTATTCTCAGACACAGATTTGCAGGGATCCAGCTAGAGCAACGGAACCTGCACAGGCTCAGGGTCAGCTGGGAGTTTGTCACTCACAGTCATGGTCCTCCAGCTCAGGGCACTCGGACCCCCTCAGCCCATCAGCAGTGTTGGAGACAGAGGCAAGGACGGCATTAAACCCCTCTGCCTTGTCTCTGTCTCTGTTCAGGAGGTGACCACCCTTAGTCTGTGATGGGCAATGTTACCTCAGCACTGCCTTTCACCATTAATGACTTAAGTAAGCTCTTTTCATTGCCCCCTACAGTTCTGGCCAGTGTCAACTCCAGCCAAGTTTTGGCTACATTAATTTTCTCCCTCACAGCAGCATCTCTATTTTTCTCCCATGGTACCTGACCTTGCTTCCACTGGCCATACATGTTATTTTTCTTACTTTAGCTCCAAAAAAATCCCTGCTCAGCCAAGCCAGCCTTCTGCCTCACTTGCTTGACTTCCAGCATTCTGGAATCTCCTGTACATTTAGGAGGTTGTGCTCAAAAAATGACCAGCACTGATGAACTCCAGCACCTTTTGAAATGTTTTCTCAGAGACCTCATTACTAGTTCCTGAAGTCTGCTCTCCTCATGTTCATGGTTAAGGCTCTTTTCTTCCTGTTGAGAGATTTTAAACTCAATCACTTAATGGTCACTATGGCCAAGATGGCCACCAACACCCATTCAGTCACAAAACCCCCTCTGTAAATGTGCAACAAATCAAGGAGGGTATCTTTTCTGCTCAGCTCTTTTACTATCTGTGTTGCCTTGGTACCATGAACCTATCACCCAGGAGCTTCTGTGTGGTTACCAGTGACAGAAAACAAGGGAATGGCCTGAAGTTTTGTTGGGGGAGTTTCAGATTATTAGGAAAAGGTTCTTGCCTCCAAGGGTGTTTGGGCACTGGAAAAGGTTCCCAGGGAAATATGTCTCAGCACCTAGGTTCAAGAAGTGTTTGGAGAATGCTCTCAGGCACTTAGTGGGATTCTTGGGGTGTCATGAACTGAACTTTGATGATCCTTGTGGGTCCCTTTCAATTCAGGATATTCTATGATTCTACTCTGTGTTTGTAGCTGCAGGCATATATCCAGCTGAATGACCATGTGAGACGAATACCTTCCATATACTTACTTTGAACTTGCTGCTAAACTCAGAGGAGCTAAGAAAAACATGTAATTTTGAGTCTTACAAATTCTGCATAGATCTGTAAAACTGGACATTTCAGATTATTACAGTGCCCAGAGGCAGATCAAATCATGTGTGCCTCAGAGCAGATATGCTAAAAGGAATGAACACTCCACAATACTGGAGAATTCAGTATTGGCACCAACAATGGATCTAAAAGGTCCATTGTAACATAGTAAAAGCCAAGTGTCATCTGTATGCTGTCCATGAAAGAACACAGGCAGATAGATATTTGCCTGCTATCAGGAGACCTCATGGTCAGTTACAGCACATGAAGGCTTTCCTTGTAAGAGACATGGATAAGCCACATAATGCTTCACTGGGGGAAAACATCACTGTCTGGCTTTCTTCAGGAACACTGACCTTCTTGAAATCAGCTCTCTTCTTTAAAAATATTAAAAAATGTAGTAAGAAAAACAAGGTACAAAAAATTGTTTGCATCAGGCACAAGAATTCTTCATAAGAATTCTTCATAAGAATTCTTATTCTTTTGCATAAGAATTCTTCGTATTTCACCACAACCTACTTTCTACAGACAATTCAGTATTTTGTAGTTTTCAGTGGTATCTCTTGCTGAAACCACCTACTGATCATTTGTGTGAGCTAAAAATTGAGTACTTCAGATTTAAAATCCAAATGAAAACCAGAAACACTCATGATTTCAAAGGTCAAAATTACTTTTTTTAGCCCATACCCATTTACATTTTTGCATGGGCAAAACTGTAGCAACTCTAGACAAAATGTATTAAGTGTTTTGGAAGATAAAAAACTATACATGAAAAATCTAAACATGTTCTTTCCAACTGGAAAGAGGACCAAAAAAGTATAGCCCTAAGCAAAAGGTTTTTTCCACAACAGAACAGCTGCTCTACACTGACAGCATTTTTTCTCACCCTGCTTACAGACCTAAGAACCTAGACTACAACTGTAAAACTGTCACCAATGAAACCAAGTCTTTGACACAATAAAATATTATAGCAGTCTCTAGTGTCATTCTTGAGAACTCATCTTGCCTCTTGAAGGATATATAAAGGCAAGTCCTCCATTTCACAAGGGAAAAAGCCCTAGAATTTTATGCCTAGAAAAACAGGACTGGCCAATTTTACAGATACCTCTGCAAGATGCACTCAGGTATTGCTTCAAGGCAATTGTGATAAAATTGTTTGCTACAGCTGAATTTAACACACTTGAAAAGGCCAGTTTCATGTATTGAAAACTTGAGTGGACAAGGGCATGTACAAGTAAATGTTGGCCTTGCTTAGAGCAGGAATTTGAACTGCACGACATGATGAGGTCCTTTCCAGTCTTGATGATTCTCCAGCATAGTCATCTTAATACTCATAGAAATTTTTCAAGAAACCAACCCAGGAACTGAGTATTTTACCTAAGCTCTTGCATGTAGTTGAATTAATCATGTTCTTACACTTATGAAAGTTGAGGAACTAGAAAATGCCACTCTGAAATCTATACAGTAAAACAGAACACACAAAACAGGATTCCTTTACATGCCTCTTTGGTGAATTATTTTATAATACTTACAGTGAATTCTCATTTTATTTCATACACTATACACTAGAATTGCAATCAACAGTATTTCAAAAGAATCCAGTTTCCAAGTTCACCATACTCTCCATTTCAACACTTAGGCATTTAAAATACATGAAAGTTAGATTAATAATAAAGTAGACCTGATATGAAGTCAGAATTTACAAAGAGCAACATCTCTGCATTATTTTACCATGACTACTTTCCATAAGTGGTAACTACACAATGATTAATGATTAAAATGCAGATCAGTTTACAGCATTCACAAAAACAGACTTGCCACATGAATGTGAAAAAAGCAGCGGCCTCTCACAATTTAAAAGTGACTTTCCACATGCTTGTTTTATTTGCAAAAACCATCTCCCAGCCCCCATATTTACTGAAGAAACCAAGGATTAGGTTATTTAAAATGATTAAAAATCATTTTCAGGCTGAGTCTGAAGGGGGAGAGAGCAAAAATGATTTATTTCAATGGTTCCTTTGCACATAAACAGACTTAGCTCTGCTCCACAAAATATTTAAACTAGCAGAGATTTTAAATTACAGACATCAGTGCTAAATAGTTAAGGAGACAATTTTATACACACTCCTCCAATCTAACAAAATAAAAACTCTAGGAACAGCCAATTGTTTTCTTAGGCTTTCTGTACACTTTGAACACCACTACTACTACACAGATTCGTATGATTATTACACTCTCATATGGAGCATTACAGTAAAACTAAACCCTGAAGTTGTCAGTGGAAAGTCAACTAAAAATGGCACTTACACATGCACACATCAATTTCTATTTTGCTTTATTCACACAGTTATTGTAAGCCTTGCAAACAAACTGCAAGACAGCCAAATTTGCATTCTGTGCAGTTTTGACTCACACCCATTTTTCATTGTTTTTATACAAAGCAAGAGATTCCCATTTGTCATCTTCTGCCACACTGCAGCAAAATAAGTATTCTATATACCTATAAATGATAACATTTAAGTCTACTTAAGTCACTTTCACAGTTTCTATTTTACTTGCAGTTCTATTAACAGTGAAGTTGGAAACATTTTTAAAAGACCAGTAAAGCCATCAGTCCCCTAACTCTAAGTTCTTATAACTTAAGAAAATAAATTCTTTTCAACTGCTTAACAGTCCATCTTAAGTATCAGATGTGATGCTTATAAAGCAGATACTAACAATTCATATGCATTCCTTATGTCAGTGAACTGGTAAGAGGAAAAGTAAATCCTCAATGCAATCACATTTGAAATCTGATCCCCTTTGTATGACTGCATATGACATATTCAATTTGTGTCTGTAATTTTCAAACAGTCCTTTTTTAATTACACTTCGGAAACTATATCCCCATTTTTAAAACAAGTAGTTCTACAGTGTAAGGAGAATCCACAGAGTGGATTCCCCAAAGTTCATTCTCTAAGCCATTTGAAGAATAACTAGGTTAGCAAGTCAATCATGTCAATCATTTAGCACATGTCAATGTGCTAAATTGAGACCTAGACAGATTAAGAAACATTTTGAAGCAGTGTTGAGTAAATAATTTTGGTAAGCTGTAAAACTGCCACATGCAAGGTATACTGTACTATAACAGCTCCAAATCCTTTATAAAAACCTTGCATTCCTTCCTCTCGTTTTATAGTATTTATGCAGTCTTTTACTCCCTCATACTGAGTATTGATTGGAAGCACTTCATAGCCAAGGTCTGTATTGTCAATTATTGTGCGTGTCCCTTGAATATGAAGGCGGTGCAAAACTGTTTCCAGCGGGTAAAGCATGACATCAGCACAAAGGCTAGCAGCAAAGCTAGCAATAAGTTCTGGAAAATACGCATCCAGCATGCTCTGCACAGAAGTGGAGCTCTCAGTTGGAAGGTTGTGGGAATTATCCCTTTTCAAAACAAACAAGACAAGCTTCTGTACGATGGAACTGATGATGTAGTGAAGAACTCCATGTAGAGCAGTGGGAAAAGTCAGGACCATCAGAGGAAGGAGACGCTTGCTATGGGGTACTCCCAAGCCTACGACTCTGCCAATTCCTTCTTTCACACAGTCCAGAATGCCAGGATTGTCTCGAATTATTTCACTCTACAAGCACAAACAAGGAGTTACAACTCATGCTGAGCACTTCAAAAACATCCTGACATCCACTCAGACATATCACTGCTGAACTTTTTAAAAGAGTTAAACACTTGCATGCTATTATGTCTACACAGCTGTACGAATGAAAGTCCCTTGTTATAACACTCTTCACAGCATTCAATTAAGCCTGTTTTTAAAGAATGAACCCATCTTAAAGAGGTGAGTCTTTTAGTGTGTACTGCAGTACTGTGTTTATACCAAAGAAATGCAACTTTCAGCCTACTGCTGAAAGTATCAGAATGCAAAACAGTCACGAACTTCTAATGTCTACATCTGGAGCAAAATGCCAGGAAGTACTTATTTAACCCAAAATTCCTTTACTTTAAAGACTATTGACTATAACCTTTGAACTTGAATCTACATAGCAAAGACTTATGTAACGACTGTTGAAAGGTCATTTTTTACACGAATTTAATAGGTTCAGTTTTGAATGTTTTCATGGCATTATATGCATTTAAAGTAGTATTCTTTACCCATGCTGTCTCTTAGTGAAGAGATAATTATTCTACTCATGTGCTGAAAATAAAAATCCTGTAATAATTATTTACTGTGTTACAATCCACCTGTGAGGGTAGGATTAAGTTAAAAACTTTATTTCCCCTACTAATAGTTATACTCCAGTGTTTTATCATGTGGCTTACACCCAAAATTCAAGACTTTGGTGTTCTTCTAAATGTCCAAGTCTCTGAGTCCATGTGGTCCATGTCCTGACCTCACATCAGAATAAACCACCAGAATATTCCTCAGTATTTTGAGGAAATATTAAACAGCCTGCAGAGCCTTGATGGTGTTTTCTATGTGGGCAATAAACTAGTTTAAATGCCTGAGAACATAATGCTGTTGCAGACTTTAAGTACAAGTTAAGCAGCACAACCCCTACTGACTCTTTTTCTGTCCCTCATCACTACAGTCACCGCACTTCAAAACCACTCCTGCTTTGGCCTAACACGCCACCAAGAGGTTTGAGATGCTAATGACACAAGAACAAATGTAACAGCTACAAATTTCCACCATTTACAGCTATTTTGATGAAATGTATTTACTTGGATAAGTGTCAAACAGATACTGTTAAACAGAATGGTTTATCAGAATTAAGACAGTAAAAGTCAATATAAACCTGCTAGTAGGAAATTCAACAGTCTTCAACTTTTCTGGTTTGTCATTGGTCATTGTCTTCTTGCAGCACAGGAATGTAATGCAAACCTGGCAAGCCAAGTTGCTCCCCTGCACCGACTGATACAACATAAAAATCTTCACAAACACTATCATTACTTCTGCTGTGTTTCTAATAAAATAATGATAATGTTTCCAGGAACTCAAGAACACATTTTGTACAGCATATATACACATACACAGACAGACACATGCTTTTCCACTAAAATACTTGCACACAGCTGAAGCTACTAATCTTAAAATTCTCAGATCTCAGTGGAATTTTCATAACCAATCCATTACAGAGAAGATCACCTACCTAAAAGGCCAAGAGAGATTTTTTTTATTGTTTTCCTATTAAATTGCTTTCTAGCAAAGGAACTTTATACTTGCAAACAGAAGACAGGCTCTAAATCATGTTCTCTTTTATTGGTAAAAAATTTACCTGTGCCCAACAACACAGGTAATGTAACATCCTTTCAGACAAAAATATAAGCAGTAAGATATAACATTCCATTCTGCAGCCTGCAGTGAACTCCAGAAACACTGACAGTGTTCCATGATTGTTTCTAGTTCCAAAATTATGGCATGCTCAGGGTAGAGCCATTCCCCAGCAATAAAGAATTTGAGTTCCAGCCAGGTTCCCATTATGACACCAGCTAAGTCTCCTGAATATTCCCCAAACCAGAGATCCCATGAGGAAAGAAGGTTTCTAAAATACAGAGTATCTTCAGAGGAAGTGAGTTTGTTGTTGGGAGTCTGTCTATAACTCTCCCTGCACAGATGCTTAATCTCATCTGTCCTGTTAATCCACAATGCAGCCAGTTCAGACAGAACAGCTCTCCTAATATCTTCTGGCTCATTTCAGCTTGGATCGTCTGCCCACACCAGAATCCTGCCCCTGTCCATGCCTCTAAAGTACATGCTGAAACTAAGAAACTGCAGAAGTCAGCCTTCTCCCCAGAAAAAGCACCATTCTGGACACATACACTAGCAAACTAGTCTTGACAGTACATGCAACTTGCCCATGCTATGAATGAAAATTATTATTTTAATAATGACTCAGTGACACAAGAGTGACTATCCTGCACCCTCCATATGAGAGTTCACTCTATAGAAAGAGTTCCATTAGCTGCACAGAGACTCTGTCACACCACGTAAAAGCAAGTTATTACACAGAGAGGGATGGGAGAATTATCCTGAACCATTTCTGCACAGCTAACCCTTGTCTTTCTCCAGAAAGAGATGTAACACCTAGACAGGCAGTCTGCAACGCAGTGCTGTGGGCTACTCTGCACAGTTACAAAACAAGCTAAGACGTATTCTAAGTGACAGGTCCAGATTTTAATTTTTGTGGCTAAGGAAGAATTAGATGAAGATTAAACGTAAAAAGCTGATTGAATGAAAACAGTCCTGAGGAGGTAGAGTTGAGTATTTCATTAAAAATCCCCACTGAACTATTGGAAAAAACTACAGTTTTTGTAGGGGACAGATGTCATTGTAACAACATGCCTAGGATGGCAAAGTTTAAAAATCTTACATGAGAAAAACTACTTTATGTTTTATCTGCTTGAACACACAGATATAGCATGTCCCTATTTCATATGCAATATATTCCAACTATCTACATTAAATGTCCTTTCTAATTCTAGATTTAGAGTTAAGATAGTACATTGATATACCCTACATAGGTAACACCCTTCAGCTAAGTCACACAACCTCAAGCAAAACAAATGCAACTACTGCAACATATACCTGAATTCAAAGATTCATCTCTCCACATAATCTAATCTATAAAGAGTAACAGTATCTTTTTAAATGTTCCAAATATATTTAAGTTACCTGTACAGTTTCAATCAGGCTTGCAGAATAAAAAGGCATTGCTATCACATGTGTTAACCTGTAGAAATTAACAATGTAAGAATTAACATAATGACATACTAGAATTTCAGCCAAACAAGCACCTGTAAGTTGATAAAGCTATCAAATTATCCCTGAGAGAAAATTAACAAAGTATAACTCAATTACTAAAATTGTATGTCAACATGTTGAGATAAGCTTCAGTCAAAAGTTTAGTGAAATTCTATTTCCATGTGACCAGACTGATTAAGGTCTAAAATAGTCTAATCTTTTAATTTAGTTGAGTTCCATAGACACAGGGATCTAGTATGAGAAAACCTGTGAAAGTGGTGTATGTAATCAAGACTGTTCAAAAAATCAGCATTTGAAAAGTACTGTTAGCATCTTGTCAAGAAAATGCAGCAGCAGACTAAACTTATGTCCATTTGGTAGTTTTATTATGTTTAGATAGTAAGATATAAGACACATGCTATACTTACCCCTTGAGTAAAAGGTGTCCACCTATCTGCTTGAGATTCCATTTATGTGAAAGCTCTCTAAAAAGAGAAGTATTTACCACAAAATGAATAAACATCCACACGTAATTCTCAAGCAATTCTTCCATGAGTGTCAACAACCTGTCGTCAGTCTTCATACTGGTGTTCTACTATTCATGTTGAAGTATTTCCCATATTGGAAAGACACAGCAAAACATTTAGTAAATCATGCTTAAGTTCAAGTAGTTTTTTGGGCCTGTCAGATATTCTATCAAAAAAAGGTTTCACTTATTAATTGCTAAGATGTTTGCAGCTCTCACAGCAATTGACTTTAATCAGTTCTGCATTTATTTAGCAGCCTTATGTATAAGTGCTTGAAGCAATTTTCAGGGAACAATGGAGTACTTTAAAATCTTCCTACTTTTCCTTCATCAAGAAATCATTTTTATTTCATTTTGGTTTGGTTGCGCTCTTCTGTTCTTTAGGTTATGTCTACCCTGTTGTTATTTCTTTCCAGAAAATAGAAATCATTCCGGTTCGATAAGAACTTGATTAAAAGTACAAGAGGTCAGGCTAGAAGTTGCACAGTAATTCCGTATAGACATAACTGAAGTTTTTTGTCCTATGACCAGTCCTTAGCATATTCTGACAAAAAATAAGAAAACCCATGTGTTTAACACAAAGGTGACATCAAAAATATTTCCTTGAAGTAGTATTTCTAGTTACACACTTCAAAATACAAACAGCAAATGTTTACAGTCCACTTGACAGAAAATGTAAACACACATTTGAATGTAATACCATTCAAATGCCACATATACTGACAGTGCATATCATCAATACTCTAGTTATGAGGTATAGATACTTGTCTGAAGTGCTGGGCACACTAGACTTTAATAACAACATTTTTAATAATAAGCTATAACGTTTTCAGCTTCAAGTGTTGTCCAGGAATCACAATCAGACACTGCTTGTAGTTAACCCTAATCCAAGAAAGGCAAGATTTAACTCTTTCTGAAGAACTGTGTGTTGTTACTAGCTATCACATTTTAAATACATAGGTCAATCACTCAACAGGAACAGAAGATCATTTTTACCATTATATATTTCAGACACTTGGCTCATATCCAGTTACCCATAATACTTAAATGATGTGGAAAATTAAAACAGCCAAACTAATGCGTGAAAGCCTAATCTGTCAATCCACATGGCATAACTGTCCCTGCAGTGCAAGAACAATTACATAGCAAGTTTGGTAGTACAAAATGTACACACCCATTTCTGGGCTCCTCTCCTAAAACAGGACTATTCTTTCATGTAACTATAACATAGAATTAGAATTGGCACTTCACATCTCCGTGTTCTTTGGACCCTGATAATGCATTTAAATAACCTTTTAAATGAGATTTGCTGACACTGCTGCTACAAGCAATAACCTTCTCATTTCTGTGACCACCCAAACATGCAAGCCACCATTAAGAAGAAAGAGACAGTATTCAGTAGAAAACTGTTGTGGGGTGGTTCATGTAGGAGAAAACTATTTTAGCCAGATCACTTTCACAGTCCAGTTAATTTCCTGACTATTCACACATTGTGGTTCCACAAAGATGGGAGTAGCACAGAAAAGGAATGAGCTGGTTCCAGCAGAAAGGTTTGATTCTTTTGGCAGCAGCACCAGCTTACTTTCCAAACTACTGAACTGGTCCACAAGCAGAAAGCTCACATTTGTGAGAATTCAGAACTATGAAGATATAAACACTATATCACATCTCATGAACTTAAGCATACCCTAGAGCTGTATTTAAAACACACTTGGAGGAAAGCACAGGCCTGAAAATTTCAATTACCTATGAAACAGAGCTGACCAAAACCCATATACATACTCTGTACAATTTAAATATGAAACACTTTTGCTAATGCTTTTGAACTTGCAAGTGCCTATTTTTATTTTTATGGAGACATGAATCATAACAGCATTTGATTCATCCTAACCATATTTCTTCTTTTCAAACCCAGGGTAATTTCCATGTCCCTGATTATTTTTAGTAAAAAATTACTAAACCTCTGCAGCAGAAGGTTGACACAGTGATGCAGAATGATGACTATCTCTTTACATGAGGTCACTGATTTTTAGTGTTAACGTCTTTTTTTACGAGAATACTGAAAAAGGTACATATAGCTGTTGGTCAAGGAAGGCAGGAGACAAAGCTGCCAGTTACACGGACGCCCATTTACCATGTCTTCTCATTCACTAATGCAGGCCATTCTGCTCTCCCTCCTCCACTGCAAGGACAGTGCAAATATTCAGCAAAATGTCAGTGATAGCTCATTAGCTGTGCAAGTTTTCTGTATTTAGATTAATAAGATTAATTAATTAGATTAATAAGACCAGGAATTTTTACCTTAGGTATGGTATTTGCTATTACCACACAATAAACACCCAAACAAAAGAAGAAAATTTTGGGGTTTTATTACAGAGTTGAATACCAAAGATCAATTAGCTGCAGCATGTCTAAGCCAGAGAAGTAAGCAGACACAAACAAATCAAGTTATTTATGGATTATAAGGTCTTCTTTTCCAAGACAACCACACTGTTTGGAAACTCCTATTTATGTCTGGTTATTCTCATGAAGCAGTATTTTTCAAACAGCTTTACTAACACTTTGAAAATAAGTCAACAACTTATTGATTTGTTAGAAATGGTAAAAAAAAACATGCAATACCTTGGCAAAGGTGTAAATTCACTGATGATGCCTTCTGTTCCCAGGGTTATGCCCTGAACAATGAAAGTGCTGCCCATTCCTTTCCAGAGAGCTCTTGGACCCTGTGTGTTCAAATATCCAACATAAAACTCAAAAATATTTTCAACTTATTAGTAAAAAATTTCAGTAAATACAGACCAGACAGGGCCACAATTCTACTGTCCAACTTTGTCATTAAACTTGGGTAACAACTCATTTTTTAATATATGAAGAAGTTTTTGTTTTTCAGTAATTTCAAAGACCTGACAATAATTTTGGAGGCATGTCTCTCTGTATTATAAACTTAACACCATTTTTTATGGACAAAATGAGCTTGAGATGTCAAAAGTACACCCATAAGATATCCAAAATTAAGCATTTCTTCCTGCCTTTAGATCTGAGTTTTAGGATTGCCATTCCCCTGCAGAATTGGAAATATATTCAGTACTACCTTTGGAAGGAGTCACTTCAACAATAACTTTATCCACATAATGATTAATGATCTTTTAGAAACCTAATAAAAAAAAAAATTCAGGGACTGTTTGTTTTCTAATATCCATAAATCATTCCCCACTAAGCACTGTACTTCTGAAAAAAATAATGGTTTACTTGATCTTCTTGACACATTTCTGTAACCATAAAAATAACAAAGCCTGAGAACAACCATACTTTCCAGCACCACCTACATAAACACTTAGAGATTTCAATATACATGCATGCTGTAGGAACTCTCAGTGCTCACATACAGCCTGACACCAAATACTAACCTGTGTCTTATTGATGCAGTACATGATATTGACAATTGTAAACGGTGTGAGATGATAATTCCGTGCATGATAGTTAACCTGTTAAAATATAAATAATGGCAGTCTTAGAAACACACTTGCAGATGATACAACTCTGAAGGATAAAGGTGTTTCAAATACAAGAATTTTTATCTCTGTAAAGATCAGCTAAAAATATGAGCAAGTTCTCACTGAAATTTAGGGAAATGGGCAGGCCTTTTAAGTATTCATATGCTGAAAGTTTAAACAATAAACTATACACAAATCAGAACCTATTCAACAAAGCATTCTGCTTGTAAATAGGGATCTGGAAGTTGCTCTGCAGACCCCAAAACACTCGCTGTAATTTGCTTTCCACTGCCCAAACAAAAATGAGCAAAATTTTTCAAAATAAGCTAAACTGCAGAATAGAAAACAGATATTCTACAAATAAAAACTTGTTAATGTAGCAGAGGCCCCCTAAAAACTACAAAGCTTCCTATAATACATACTTTCATACAGAGATATGACAGTACACAGGAGTTTTGCTGCAATAGGTAATATAAAAGTCATACCTGACATTGACGACGTAGAACAATGCAAGGATGTGCCAACACATTTTCTGTAAATAGACTTTAAAGTAAAATTGCATTTAATGCATGAGAAGTTACCAAAAATTCCTTAGCAAAGGCTTGTTAATTGTCTCTAACAACAGCAGATCAGTATTTGGAAAAGCAATATATTTTTTAGTGAATTAACAAGGCATGTTTTTGATGGCTACCCAACAGCCTCCCAAGGAACAAGTTACATGAAATCTGACATATACATTCACTACAAAAAAGCCCCATATATATATGTAGTATGCACATATTTTTATAAGCAAAAAAACATACCCAATTTCTTAATGTCATCCTCCCCAACATATCATGGTACAAAACAAACCACAACCACAATTATGAGAGGATTAGTTCCCAGTTTTGTGCTAATTCTGCATACTGTATTATTAATCAGGACTCTCCTCAGGAGGGCCAGAGAAGGTACTAGCAGATGACACCTTTTCACCAAAAACAGTACTGACCCAAAACAATTCTCCTACCACTGCCAGAAGTCATATTTCAATCAAAACTTCACAGGAAAGTTCTCACCTCCAAAGCAGAATTCCTGGTTGCAGCCATTCAGAGAAAATATTAATTTCATCTCAAAGTGCATGAGTGATCAGAATACTTACCTGTACATTGTTCAAACCTGGAACATGGATTAGAAAAGTAGAACATCCAGGATTTTTACAAACAAAAGCTACAGAATCATCTGTGGTAGATTTCTTAACTTCCAATAAACAAGTGGCATAGAAAAATACTGCAGTTTTGTAACTATTGAGCTAGTTTGTATTTTGCCACTACCAAAAGAGGTGAAACTTTCCCTGGACATCAGCATCTTAAAATTCAGCACTTTGTCAAAAATACTATCAATAATTAGGGTCACTATAAAAAAGAATAAAATGGCCTTCAGACCACCTGGTTAGATGAACATTATGGTACGAGGGTACTTTGGTCATACACATGAAGACATTTTCACTTTCTTAGAAAATATTTGTATTGCCTAGAAATATTAATAAAATTTGCAAATGTTGAAGAAATTTTCTGGCGTTACTTTCAGATTACTTGCACAAGGTACAGACATCACGGGCATTCCATATGAAAAACTGTTTCTTCCATTCATGTAAGTATTTTTTGTCAACAGTTAAAAGAAAACAGAAACCTAAATAGGGGTAGTAGGTTTCTAAATACGTTTCAATGGCTTACTGGAATAAAAACACAATGAAGAAGTGTATGTAGGATTTATGAGACACATATGAGTTCTACTACCCCTTTGTCACTGATCACAACTCTTACCTTGCAAGGCCAATACCAAAGCCAGCAAATCTGTTCAACTGCTCTGAAAAAGAAGAAAAAAACCAAAACAAAACTAGATTAAACAGCAGTGATAATCACAAAATAGAGAAAATGTGACGCACAGGATCTGAAAAACTAATTTTATCTTGTACTTGCATTAGAAAATTACAAGCACTAAACCACAATATTTATGGCAGTTGAGCAACAAAGGATATAAAAAAATTATTCCCCCAGGAATATTTGCACTTTGGATTGCATTTGAGTTTGTACATATTCTTATATATACAATTCTGTTTTTCTTACAGGGGAAAAAAAAGAACAGAGAAAATGAACAGTAAAACAGAGAGCATTTTAATATCTTAAAAAAAAACAACTCAAACCAACTACTTAGTATGCATGAGTTTACAGTAATTCTGAAACATAAATTTAGATAACTGAGGTGGAAAAATAATGTTGAAACAGTAAGAAGGCAAAATTTTGGGCGACATTACAAAAAGCCATGGATATTAAAAAAAATAAATTTCAAGCCAGTTGTTTATCTCCACTCCTTTGCAAAAATCTAGTTACTGGAGAATTACAGAAGTAATTAATTCAATTCTCTGTTGCCTGCAACCAGACAGACACTTACAGACTGGGAATTATCAGAATGGATTTTAAGATGAGCATCAGAACAGTAAAGGCATTTTAAAGATAATGCTCAGCCCAACAGTTTTCAGAGTACAAGCAGTCTGAAGACATGGATAAAGTCAGTAACTTCAGTGGAGCTCCACACATATGTGGCAGCCCTACTAAAAATGGTAAGATACCATTTGCAGCTGCTGGATTCAGTGATTACAGCAACTCCTTATCAGTGCTCCAAAGTGCAGAACGAACACACCTTCCACATGTAGATAGCGGGAAAAAATGTAGTGTCCAGCTATGCAAGGATACTTAAACAGTGCTTCAACCAGTGCATGCATGGATGGAGCCTAGCTAAAGGCTGTACTCTATAAGACCTGAATAAAAACACTGCACAACAGGTCAGAAAAGAAAGACCTGCCTACTAAAATAATTTGATTTCAGGAAAATTACTATTTCATAAACCTCTTGATACTCAAGTGTCTATAACCTGCTCCTTTTATTTAAAGAAAACAACATACAGCACCCTAGATACTGCAAGTTCTCCTTAATTCACCTCAATTTTATGAAGATCTAAAATGACTTTATTTATTTATGGAGGCTTATACTCAGTTTCCCAGCAATTACTGAAAAAGCCTTGTACTCAATTGCTTCCTTAAATCCTACCAGTCTCACAGTTCCCTCACTATCATGCGTGGACGGGGGAGGTTCACGTCAGCATCCCATGTTTTAAACCCGAGAAGCCAAGCAGTCTATAACACCACCACAATAACGCAGCACTCTAAGAGCCTAAAAGCACTTCCTGCCTTTAAAGAGGGCGGCGTGTTTCTGCAGGACATTGTTTACACGGGCAATGAGGAGCAAGCTGCCCGCACACTGCTTAGCGAAAAGCTGCGGACGCATTCTGGCACTCTCAAATCATTTTGCATGGAGCTGCATAGTGCTGGAGCGCAACAGGCAGGGACGGAGCAGACCGTGTTCTTCTAAAGGACTTTTTTCCCCGGCGCTTCAGCACCGCCACTGAAAAGGAGGGCCGGGCGGCGCTCGGCCTGGCCGCGGCACAGCCCAGGGCCGCCGCCCGCCCGCCCTTGCCCGGCCCGGCGGGTCACTGCTCGCGGGAGATGCAAGCCGGGGGTCAGCGGGACCGGGGAGCGGCGAGAGGCGGCGGCCGTCCCCGGGCTAGCCCAGGCCGGGCCCTCCCTTACCGGCGCCGGGGCCGCCCGTCCCGAGGTTGGCCTCCTCGTTGGAGCCGGCGCCGCTCAGAGGGGTCCCGGCCCCATACGGCGGCGTCTTCTCGCCCCAGTGCAGGTTGCGGCTGCCAGGAATGTCGGGCGGGCTGGTCACCCAGGAGCCCAGCTCCGAGCCGCTGCTGAAGGGCCTGGAGCCGGGACCCAGTTCATCGCGACCGATCCCGCGGTAGCCGAGGCCGTCGAAGCCTTCGGGGCGCCGCGGGTGCATGGCGGGGGTCGCTGAGGGAACCTGGCGGGGCCGAGGGGAGCGGGAGAGGGGCGGGAGGCGCCGCGCTCGGGCGCACCGGCGGCAGCGGACCCAGACCCGCCGCCCAGCCCTGGCACTTCCGGCCACGGTGAGGCCGCGCGCGTGACGGCTGAGGGGGCGGGGCTGGGCGCTGGGCCAATGGTGGCGCTTCCCTTTCCCGGCCCGGGGCGGGGCGTCCGGCGCGGGGACGGGGCGCGAGGGCTCTCCCTGGCGGTGCGGAGGGCGCTCCCTGGCGGTGCGGAGGGCGCTCCGGCCCGCCCGGCTGTGTGGACAATCCGAGTGCCGGCTCCGCTCCCAGCCTTGTCCCGGCGGGCCGCCCCCCGTGGGGAATCCGTGAGAAAGAACGAGAGGTGGCCGTGTGAGATACAAAGTTGTGTTTCGTGTCAGGTACATACAGATAGTGTGTGTACTTGTGGTTGCGATTTGTGTGGAAACTGATCATGGGACAATTAAAAGATGAATTCTAAAAAAATAACTGCGGGAGTAAAACATAGAAAAAGGCCTTGGAAATTATCCTTTGTTTGCAAATAGCATCTGAATTAAAGTTTTAACTATGTTGCTGCTGGACAGGAACTTTCTGCACGTAGCTAAGCATAATAACTGCACGTAGCTTTGCAATAATAAGCTTTTTTTAGAATATTGCTTGTAATAAGAAGCTTTAAAAATATAGGTTTAGAATGTATGTAAAGGAAATATGCTTATCTCAACACCTTAACAAAACAGTAAAAAGCAGCTTGAGAAAGGAAGTTGAACATCAACTCAAGGATTGATAAGCTTCAAGGGAAGCTGGACATCACCGTCATGAGATTTATAGTCCTTGCAAGTAAAAGGTGGAGCCACATCTGGAGTCTAGAACACACCAGCTGAAAGACTTCTTACTTCTTTGGGAAATCGAACCCCACCATCTGGGGATACTCTTTCCTGGGGCACATCCTGAGAAAAACTAACTCACAATAGTGTATAGAATTGTGACGTAAAAATTGGGAATAGAAACTGCTGGGAATCTAAACTGTTGAGAAAGCTGTGTGTACCCCTATAAATACCTGTAAGCCTCAACCATCGGTGTGCAGTTGGAGGGAAAACTTCCTCCACTGTACCCAGCGCTCATACTTTACCATATTAATTAATAAATTGATTGTTGCTTGAATATTGGCCTAGTCAAGCTTCTTATTTATAACAGCCGGAGAACTTAAGGTGGCCATGCGGATCTGAGACAGCAGTTTCCGGGGAAAAACATCCTTCTTATCGACCTTGGAGATGAGCACAACACAGACACGGCAAGCGCAGGGATGAGGCCAAGGAGGGCATGGACTATGGAGAGGAACACAGACCACCCAAGATCCCCAAAGCCCTCCGACGCATTTCCATAAATGGTCTGAAAGAACAGACTGCCCATGATAACTGATTGCATAGGAAGTGAGAAACACTTCAGATGGGGAACTCGGGCCGTAGAAAGTATCCCCCAAACCCAAGCGGTGCCCACAGGATATAACGTTGGCTGGATGGATACAGCTGGATTGATTCTGACACTAGGACTGACATCCCTTCAGCTGGATCAATGCTGGATCCAGGAGTGGTGATCTCTTTTTCTCTTTCTCTCTTCTCGTCTTTAATTCACCTCTTCTTTTAGTCTTCCCTTTCACACTACTTCTTTAAAACCCGTTGCCACGTGCTTATATAGTAGGTCAGGGACTAGAATACCAATTTCCATGCTGAGTGTGTAATTTACTAATAAAACTTTCTGATTATTTGCAGACCCTCTGACTTCTGTTGTTCCTTTCAGCCATGAGCATTTATGAATCTTCCTTCCCCTTAGGAGTGGGAGCCACACCCTGTGGTTTTAATGATCCCTTAGCTCAGAATCACAGAACCATTTAGGTGGAAAAGACCCCCAAGATTACCAATATGACCCTGTCAACCAGACTATGGCACGTCCAGTCTTTCCTTAAACACTTCCAGGGACAGTGATTCCACCACCTCTCTGGGCAGCCCATTTCAATATCTGGTCACCCTTTCTGTGAAAATTTTTTTCCTAATGTCTAGTTGAAACCTCTCCATGCACATTAAACCATTTCCTCTCACCGTGTCATTTGTTGCATGGGAGAGGAGGCTGACCTCCCCCTTGCTACAATCTCCTTCCAGGCGGCTCATCTTATAAGAAGCTCAACAATATCTTCCACAACTGGGTCTTAGTCTGACACACAGGTATTCTCATTTTGTGCACTAGGTTAAGCCAGCATTAGTGTTTAAGTTTAAGTATAGCATGAGCCATCCACAGCTTTGTGAGAAGAAATCTCATTAATGCATATGAATATCTCAAAGGCAGGTGCCTAAGGATGGTGCCAGACTCTTTTAAGCGATGCTCAGGGACAGGAAAAGGAGCGAAGTTCAGCACATAAAGTTACAACATAGCTGGTTGTTACACAGTTTAAGTCTTCCCAAAGTTGTGGAAATCCTAAAATCAGACTAGTCAGGATTGCAAGAAGTCTTTAAAGGTCATCTAGACCAACTGCCCTGCAATAAGCAGGGGCATCTTCAATTTCAAGTAGGTGTTTAGGGCCCTTTGCAAACTGAATTAATGTTCCCAGAGATACGGCTACAGACTCTCTGGGCAACCTTTTCCAGTGTTTTACCAGTCTTATAATACCCTCAGTCCTTCAGCTGTGTCAATGGCACTACTCAGTTTCGTGTCATCTCCAAATTTGCTGAGGGTGCACTCCCACAGTGTCCATGTTACTGGTAAAGATACTGAACAGTACTGATAAGAAATTTAATATTAGCATTAATTAGAATTTCAGGTGTGGGGTCTATGCCTTCTACACAGTGTCCCCAGACCATTCCCTGGTGTTTGACTGTGCTCCCATAGCACAGAACCTACTTTCACATGATACAGCAGAAGTCTGGACTTCCTTCTTTTCTTTGAAAGAAAACACAAAGAAAACAGTTCAGAGGTTTACTTTTGCAGTGAGAAGAAGTTGGCAACAGCCTAAGTGCACTGAGCAGCAATTACAGTAGGACACAGAACACAAAGCTTCTGTGCTAATGATCTCTTATATTTAATTCCCATTTTATTCCCATGATTTAATGTAGAGCCAGGCATGCAGTTTCTGTGCTTGGTCTTGGAAGAATGAGTAGCCTCCAAGTGAGAAAACAAAATGAAGGTTGTCAATAGGAGAAACCAGTAAACCACAGTTCCTCAGAAAAAATAGGAGAAGGAGTGTTGTTCCAAAGAAACCACAATCTTTTTCCACACTGGAATATGACATGACTGTTGGAATAGCAGGATCTGCTGCTTTTTCTAAAACAATATTAATTGACTAATTAATTGGTTGGACTCAATCATCTTTAAGGTCTCTTCCAACCTAGTCATTCTGTGAATTCTGTGAATGCATGTGAGAGGGAGAATTGTTCAGGGTGAGGAAACTGTATTCAAATTAAAATCTACATTTCTCTGGGAAAACGATGTTCATAGCTACTGCTTTGTTAACCAGTTAGCAAAGGAGTAGAGTGCAAATCTGCTGACTCTGATTTACACCACATCTTTGAGATCTGCACAGTGGGTAGCTGCCCTCTTGGTCATATAATGGAAAAGGGCAGCTGTATTCCACAGCAGCCTGGGGCTTCCAGCAGCACAGCTTGAAAGACAATTGAATCGGGTTTATGTATTGGGCCTGTGTGACTGTAGGAGTGGTTTCTGTGTGAAGACATAAAGAGCTGCCCCTCTGTCAGGCAGAGCCAGCTCCACCTGGTTTCCAGCCAGACCTGCCATGGCCAAAGCTGAACCCATCCATGATTTTGGTAGCAGGAGAGGGTAAGAGAATTGTGATTTTTCCAGTATCCAACTCCATTTTAAACTGGCAATAAATTAATCTTCTCTAAGTGGGTGTCAGGTTTGAATTCTAATTTGACATTGTTTGTCTTAGGTGAGACACACAGTAATGCTTGTGTCATTTGGGGTCTTCACCCCATGCTCATGTCTTGCTTCCCAAATTGATTCAGGATGAGAACAGATGCTTGACACCAGCAGGAGGCTCACCCACAGCCAAGGAGAACAGCAAACTCACCAGCTTTTTCCTGGGCCTCTTGGGCCTGACATACATAGCATCCTTTGTCACATCCCAGTGGTGGATGTCCAAACAGCTCTTTCCCTTCAGCTGCTCATCTGTTGAGTGTTCTCAGAAGAAAATGGTTTGCCTCACAGTTTTATCAGGCACATAAATCGACCCTCAAGCAAAAGTCACCCCAAAAGGGCCAGCAAAAGGGAGCCTGAGGTTTTAACACCAGCTGGCAGTCTGGACTTGAATATGTGACATTTTCCTATTGTACATCTCTGCAACTCCCTGAATTACCCAAACAGGCTGGAAGGTGCCACAGGCTCTCAGGTCTCTCCCACACACTGACAACTGGCACCCAGCATCTGTGCTTTGGCTGGCTTGTTCACCAATGCCCATCAAGAGTGATCTGGGCAAGGAGGAAGAGCCTGCAAATTGCCTTCATGGGAGAATTTTAATTTCTGAGCTGAAGAGAAACAAGCCTGGAAGTTAAATGGGTCTTTGCAGGGCTGTTTCTCCTCATAGCTGAATCTAAGGTGGGTGGCTGGATCATCTGTTACTGCTCGTGAAGTAACACCTCTATTTCAGTCTTCTTTTGTGTACATTATGTGGAACACCTGGAATATTAGACATACCTCCAAACCATAAGAGTGACACCAAATTGTAAAGCCAACGTATGATACCATGTACAATGCATTGATGCTCTGCTAATGGTTTTGACAGCAGAATACCAAATTCTGTAAAGTGCTGCCTATATGATTAATAAATACAAAACCATGAATAAACAAAGTTCAGAATCTGTTCCTTGTGGATGCCATAGGACAGAGAGAGAGAAACATCAAGCGTTTCTCACAGTGGCTTGAGAGAAATTTTAGGGAGTTGGAAAGATATGATAACTTGTTAGGTATAAGCAACTTGCAGGTGGTGTTTTTCTACTTTGTTTTCCTGTTCTTTTCAAGGACAGCGTGCGAGGAAGATGTTTTTGTTAGTTAACCAGTCAAATAGAACATATCGTATTGCTCTCTAAAAACCATGCA